GTACAAACACACAACTTTATTATCACTGTACAAACACAACTTTATTATCACTGTACAAACACAACTTTATTATCACTGTACACACAGCAAAGTGCTAAATGCTAAATATTACATTGAAGCTTACGCATTCAGCAGGTTTGTTAACAGTTAGCATTCGTATGTAAACATGCCTTTAGGCTCAAACACTCTTCCTTTGTGTAATTGATCTGATTGGATTAAAGATTGATCGCTCGCTGTTCTGTTCCACCACTTAAAGGAAGTAAAGACGCAGTGTGTCCCCCCCCCCACGCAGGTTTCTGATTACAGCTCCTCTCTCGCTGCGTTTGGACGCCCTGGAGACGGTGATACTGCAGCTGTTTGATTTTACGGACCCGGTGACGGTCTACGTGTTCTTGAAGACCTCCATGGCTCCAGATCATGTGGTTCTGGCTCGGGAAGTCGTGACTCTCAACGCCGGTAACAACTACCAGGCCGCCGCCAAAGTCCGGGTGAGACTGGATCCACAGAGCGGGTCAGCTGTGATGCTTTAGGGTGAGACTTTAACCGCTCTCTGTTTCTCTCCCCAGCTGAACCTGGGTCAGCTGGATAAGACTGTGAGTCATGTGATTCTCCACGTCCAATCAACTGAGATCAACAAGCACCTGTCGATCCCCATCAGCCGAAACAACGGCTTCCTGTTCATCCAGACCGACAAACCGCTGTACACGCCGCTGCAGAGCGGTGAGAGCGCGCACGCCTCCAAATATCACAGATCCTCAATGTCCCACAATCCATTGCACAACACTCACTGTCTTTTTTATTTTTTTAAGTTACAAAACTACAAAGCAGCTTTTTCTTAGTTTTCTGTCGCACTTTGTAAATGTTTTGGGGCAGTTGGTGAGATAAAACAAGAATATTTTAATATGGACTCGAAATGAATGTAAAAGCTGGATTTTACTGTCGTGAGTCGAGGTTGAGCTTGTTTACAACTATTTTGTGTCGGACTCCAACTAATGATTATTTCCTCTGTTAATCCATCGACTGTATATACATTGTTGAGAAATACTGTCACAATTACCTAGAATTGCCCCTAACCTCAACATTGAAAATATAAAAATAACTAAAACACTTATTTAAATAGTCGATTATTAATTAATTAATGGACTAATGGTTTCAGCTGTACTTTCATGTGTGTGTGTGTGTGTGTGTGTGTCCAGTCAAAGTGAGGGCGTTTTCTCTGAACCAGGAGTTGCGGCCGGCCAATCGCAGCGTCTTCCTGACCTTCAGAGTGAGTGCGGCAACTGCTTTCAATGTCTCATCTCAAAGTGATCTCAGGTCTCAGATCAGTGATTCTGTCCCCAACAGGACCCGTTCCGCACAATCGTGGACATGGTGGAGATAATTGATGTCAACAATGGGATCCCGTCCATGCAAGACCCCTTCAAGATCCCCATTAAACCAAAGTAAGGTGATTCCAGGTTGTGTGTAACGTTATTAATGTGATTCCAGGTTGTGTGTTACGTTATTAATGTGATTCCAGGTTGGGGATTTGGACCATTGAAGCCTCCTACTCTGATGATTTCACCACAAAAGCAAAAACAGACTTTGAAGTTAAAGAATATGGTAAAACTTATCTTAAAAAAAACTTAAAAATATCTTAAACTTAAAAATATCACTTCAACCAACTGGTTTCAGTTTCAGTATAAAGTGTAAATGATCTGTTTTGTGTCAGTTCTTCCCAGTTTCTCCATCCTCGTGGAACCAGAAGCTAACTTCATTAGCTACGGGAGCTTCGACCGTTTTACCTTCACAGTCTCTGCCAGGTGAGTGAACTCGGTGACGTCAGAGCTCAAACTGGTCATTTATCTGCAGATTACACCACCTGTCTGTTCCTCAGGTATCTTCACGGCGCTCCGGTGCCTGACGCTGAGGTGTTCCTGCGCTTTGGCTACGTCAGCGGGAAGAATCCTCCGGTTCTCATTCCCAGTTCTGTTACCAGAGAGAGAGTAAGAACCACCGTTAATGTCTTAGGCAGGAATATATGTCTTCCAATCTCTCACTACTGCACGCTGAAATATGTCCGTAGACTTGAGAGTGAGAAAAGTTTTTCATGTAGCTCAGCCAGTTTACCTTCGTTAGAGTTAACGTTCTCTGTGTCCTTCAGTTGTCCTCGACAGGTGAGGTGAGCACGACCGTCAACATGCAGAAGGTCCTGTCCAAACACAACGGACCAAAAGACCTCAACAGTCTGGCAGGGAAGTACCTGTACATCGCTGTGCTGCTGCAGGAGGAAGGAGGTACACACACACACACACACACACACACACACACACACAGTGAACATCAGTGATACTCACACCCACAGGTATCCTCAGCCCTCCGCTCTGTCCCTCAGGTGGAATCAGTCAGGAGGCGGAGTTTGCTGCAGTGAAGTTCGTCAAGTCACCTTACAGCCTGAGTCTGGTGTCCACGCCCCCCTTCATCAAACCTGGACTTCCTTATATGGTCCAGGTGTGTGTCAGCAGGTGTAAAACAGTTAATACACAACAGCTGTCCAGGATGGCGAAGTTACAGCTGAGCTCAGGGTGCGATCGATCCCAGAGTAACAGTGATGGTTCCTCTGCAGGTGCTGGTGAAGGACCACCTGGACAAACCGGTGAACCGGGTTGAGGTTCGTCTGGTGGAGCGACAGCTGGTCGACGCAGCGATGGGCAACTTACAAATCATCTGTCCAGACACCGTCGTCAGCCAATCAGACGGCCTCGCTGTTTTCATCTGCAACATACCGGGTAAAGGAAATAGTGCAGGGCTGCAGGTAAGGAGGAAGAGGAGGAGGAGGA